GGGTCCCACCGTGGGTCCCTGGGGACCCTTGCCCCAGCCCAGGGTCCCGCCCTGGGGGCTGCCGTGTCCCGGGTCCCCTCCCAGCGCTGGCGTTTCCAGCTGGCAGCTCCCGCTCTCCTCCCGCTCATTCCGCCCCGGCGCTGCGAGTTGATTAGCTCTGCTAATTACTTCACAAATAATGAGCTTCCCTAATTGCGCTGGCAGGGATGGGGGGGCTCTCCCCACCTGCCATCCCGCAGTGCCACTGGGCTCTGGGTCCCCTTGGCCCCACTGGGGACCCCCCTTGAGTGTTGGTGCCCGGAATTCTGGGGAAAAACCCCAAAATCTTTGCGTGGGGAGCTGGGAGCTCTGGCTCATCCCAGGGGGATTGGGCCATTCCCCCTGCTCTGAGCACCCCAGATCAGTGGGATGCGTGTTCCAGACCCTGCCTGTTCCTTGTCACGGCCTCTGGGCTGGATCTCCGAGATGGATTTCCCACCTGGCACATCCCAGGCGGGTTCAGCCGAGGGTGAAGCGTGCGTGACACGGCTGATGAGCCATCGCCCCTTCCCTGCTTTGGCTTCCTGGGAGCGGGAGCTGCAGCTCCATGGATTCCCAGGAGCCTCTCCTTCTCCCTCAAGGGCCACGGAGCAGGTTCCCCCACCCTGAGTCCCTGGGGTGTCCTGGGATGTGGAGCTGGATTTGCCGTCCTGGGTCTTGGAGCATTTCCAGCTGCTCCAGCTGTGACTGCATCCATCATCACCCCCACCCCGTGCCCTTGGGAAGGGGCTGGGGCTGGGGTGGGACCCCCGGGTGCTGGGAATGTCAGCACCCCATGGTCAGTCCTCCCCTGGAATTCTGGCAGTGGATACAGGCCGCTGCTTCCCTGGAAGCAGGCCTTAATTAGGCCGTGCCCGGTGTAATGCTGTTAATTGGAGAGGAGAGCCGGAATTCCGTCGCCCTGTTGAGTGTTCCAGGCCGTGGGGGGTTGTTTTGGGAGGAGGGAATTAGGGGGTCTCTCATCCCCCTCTGGATCTGCTCTGTCCCTCACTGGAACCAAAAAGTCTCATTCTTGCCCGGCTTCCCCAGCCTGGGATAAACCAGAGCATTCCCATGGAATTTGGGATTGAAATCTCGGTGTTCCGGGAGGGAAGGGAGCGGGTGCCCCGCTCCTCCGGCAGCTCCCTGAAGATGCAGCTCCAACTCCGTCGCTAATGGAGCGGCGTCCTCGCTGCTCACCTTTAATTAAGTGAGCCTCAGATCCCTGGGCTTAATTAACTTCTCAGTGGCTGATGACTCTCTCCGGCAGCCGAGGAGAGCCGGGACTGGCGTTTCACGGAATCGTGGGATCCCAGAATGGATTGGGATGAGTTGGGTTGGCTTGGAAGGGACCTTCAAGCCCATCCAGTCCCACCACAGGCAGGGACACTTCCACTATCCCAGGCCGTTCCAAGCCCTGTCCAGCCTGGATGTGAACATTCCAGGGATGGGGCAGCCACAACCCGCTAGGGGATTCATCGCCGGGATCCAACCTCTGCCTCGGAAAACGGGTTAAACCCAACAAAATCCTTCTCCGTGTCGGAAATTGCCGGCGCTCGCCATCTGCGGGATTCCGTTAACTTCCCGCCGTTCCGTTGATTATTTGTGTTTATTTGCAAAGCCTCTGCTGAGCGTCCGAGGCCTTGAACGGCTTCCCGGAGCCGTCAGCTGCCGCTTCCGTGCGCCGGCCGTGTCACGGCTGGGGACAGCGGAGCCGGCCCGGATGGGGGCTGGCGGGGCGGCCGTGCGGGCTGGGCGCTCAAACGTTCCCGTTGTCCGGCTCCCGGCACCGCGGCCGAGTGGGGACGATTCCCAAAGGGAATTGGCGTTCTGCACCAGCAGCAGCAGGATGGGAGGGCTCGGTCAGCGCCAGCACATCCGGGGCTGGAATGGTGCAGCCGTGGGTGCCGGCACAGCACCGGGAGCCTGAGCTGGTGACCCCCTTTTTGGGGTAACCCCTTCCTGGGGTGACTCCTTTTGGGGGTGACTCCTTTTTTTGGGATGGTCCCTTTTTGGGGTGACCCCTTTTTGTGGTGGCCCCTTTTTGTGGTGACTCCTTTTTTGGGATAGTCCCTTTTTGGGGTGACACCTTCTTGGGGTGACTCCTTTTTTTGGGATGGTCCCTTTTTGGGGTGACACCTTCTTGGGGTGACTCCTTTTTTTGGGATAGTCCCTTTTTGGGGTGGCCCCTTCTTGGGGTGACTCCTTTTTTTGGGATGGTCCCTTTTTGGGGTGACCGAAGGAGCTTTGGGGAGGGCTCAGATCCCAGCTCCGTGGCACATCCAGGACTGGCAGGATGGCACCTTGGATCTTAGGCATGTCCTCGGTGCTGTGGAATCTGTGCTGGTTGGCCCTTTTTGGGATGGTTCCTTTTTGGGATGGTTCCTTTTTGGGGTGGTCCCTTTTTGGGGTGGTCCCAGTGGCTGCAGACCCCATGGAGTTTTTGGGAGGGCTCAGTTCCTGCCTCCACGGCTCCTTCAGGAATTCCCTGCTGGCCCCGGAGCCCCCGGCACTGCCGGGAGGTGCCGGGGCCACCCAGGGCTCTGCCGTCCCGCTTCCTGCGCTGCGGCAGGATGGGATTAGGGATTTAACAGCCTGTGCCAGACAGACACTTAACTAAGCCATAAATTTGGAGTTCGTTAGTGAGGATTAATTAGTGTTTGCACAGGGCTTTGCCGTGCGGAGCCGCGTCGGTGCCGAAGCTCCGCCGTGACCTTGGCTAGGGTGGGAGCATCTCGGGGCCTGGATCTGTCAGATCCCACCGCTGGAAGGGTCCGGAGTCACCCCGAGGATCTGGGAACTGGGAATGCTCCAGGAGCCCATGGGCAGGGGCTGGAAGTTCGGGAAGGGGGAGCTGTGCTCCCCAGGAAGGGGCAGAGGGGATGCTGGTGGTGCCACAGCAGCTCCTCCGTGCTTGTTCTGAGCTCCTGCAGCTCCAGGGGCTGGAGCAGCTCCTGGGATCTGCTTTGGGATCTGCTTTGGGACCTGCTGTGGTGGAAGGAGGTGCCAGAGTTCCCAG